ACCAGGGCCAGTGCGCCTCATGATGTTAATACGGTGGTGGTACAATGGCGGTGGCAGCCCCTACTCGAAAGCCTGGTGGAAGAGCTCCGTCTTACAGGCCCTGTGTAACTGCATAAGGCTTACTAATTCAACATGTAATTCAACATGTAAGGGAAAACAATGACAGCAAGAGGAAATCAATACACAACAGAATCCAAAAGAGCTTGTCACAAATGAATGCCTGTAATAAATAGTCCTTGCGTTCACCCGAGATCATGCTGATATGGGATGATCCACTAGACTTATTTCCATGCTGGATGTTGATTAAGCAGTGATCTTCGGGGATGATGGTCCCAGCCTCTAACAGTGCTCAACATGGCAAAAACAGAACTCATGATGAGGGAAGGGAGTTGCAGCCTAGGATTGACATAGGGGTAGTACATAAATACCTAGTTTCTTTAAATGAAACGAATTCGTCAGGGCCAGATGAGCTGCATCCAAGGGTACTAAAAGAACTCTCGGGTATAATTTCTGAGCCTCTGTCCATTATTTTTGAGAATTCTTGGAGAACAGACGAGATGCCAGAAGACTAGAGGTGGGCAAATGTTGTCCCCGTCTTCAAGAAGGGGGAAAAGGAGGAACCGTGTAACTTACCAACCCGTCAGCTTGATGACTATACCTGGGAAAGTTTTAGAACAAATACTCAAACAGACAGTCCTCGAGCATTTAGAAAGGGCAGCTGTGATTACTGAGAGCCAACTTGGTTTTCTCAAGAACAAGTCATGTCAGACTAACCTTATCTCCTTTTTTGAGAAGGTTCTACCTTGCTGGTTCAGGGGAATGCTGTAGACATAGTTTATCTTGATTTCAGTAAAGCTTTGGATAGGTTTCCACATAATATTCTTGTTGACAAATTGGTAAAATGTGGTTTGGATCCTATGACTGTTAGGTGGATCTGTAACTGGTTGACAGATTGCACCCAAACAGTGCTTGTGAATGATTTCTCACCCTCTTGGAGAAGAGTGACAAGTGGAGTGCCTCAAGTATCTATCCTGGGACCTGTTTTATTCAACATTTTTATCAATGATTTGGATGAAGGAATAGAGGGAATGCTTATTAAATCTGCAGATGATACTAACTTGGGAGGCGTAGAAAATACGATAGAAGACAAGAGTCAGGGTACAGGATGATCTTGACAGGCTGGAAAACTGGGCTAAAACAAATAAAATGAATTTTAATGGGATTAAATGTAAAGTTCTGCATTCAGGTAGGAAAAATCAAATTCATCATTATAGGATGGGGGAGACTTGTCTTGGCAGTAGTATGTGCAAAAAGGATCTAGGGGTCTTAGTAGACCATACGCTGAGCATGAGTTAGCAGTGTGATGCAGTAGCTAAAAAGGCAAATGCAATTTTGGGCTGTATCAGCAGAGGTATAGTGTCTAGATCACACAAAGTGATGGTATCGCTTTAGTCTGCTCTGGTTAGACATCATCTAGAGTACTGTGTTCAGTTTTGGGCACCACAGTTTAAGAAGGATATAATCAAGCTGGAACGTGTTCAGAGGAGGGCAACAAAGATGGTGAGGGGTCTGGAGACCAAGTCCTCTGAGGAAAGGTTGAAGGAGCTGGGTATGTTTAGCCTGGAGGGGAGACGGCTGAGAGGTGATATGATAACCATATTCCAGAAGCTAGATGGCCGTCTGACAGCAATGTTGATTCTGTGAACTTAGGCAGATCATGAGAGGGAGGACTGGAAGGGTTACACCAGTGCTTAGTTCTTGTGGCCCTTTCTTACATGCCCAGGGAAATGCTGATTGCTGTGTTGGAGCTGCGGTGGCTCAAGTGGTTAAGATGCTGAACTGCAGGCTGTGGAAGGTCAGTAGTTCAGCAGTTCAAGACCCGGGTGCCGCATGATGGAGTGAGCTCCCATCTCTAGTTCCAGCTCCTGCCAACCTAGCAGTTCGAAAGCAAGAAATTGCAAGTAGATAAATAGGTACCACTTCAGTGGGAAGGTAACAGCGTTCCGTGCGCCTTGGTGTTTAGTCATGCCGGCCACATGACCACGGAAACGTCTTCGGACAGCGCTGGCTCTTCGGCTTTGAAACGGAGATGAGCACCGCAACCCTAAAGTCGGATTCGACTGGCTTTCGAGCAAGGGAACCTTTACCTTTACCTTTTTATGTTGGTGTCAGGAAGCAATTTTTCTCCAGGCCGGTTTGGCTGGAGATCCTGAAGGCATGGAACAGTGGTCACTGGGGGTGTGTAGGGGGAGGTATTTGTGAATTTCCTGCATGGTGCAGGGCGTTGGACTAAATGACCCTGGAGGTCCCTTGAAATTTATGGTTCTATGTTTCGTCAAGGCTTCCTCAAAGACGGAACGATTTTCCAATAAGCATCACAAACATTCTGTATACAATTTCCGGAAAATTACTTCTCTAAGTGGTTATGCTGCAAAGAACCTTCAAATCAGCAGTGCTGTACATTTGAAGGTTCTTTGCATGATAAGCGCTTAGAGAAGTAATTTTCTTGAAACTGTATACAGAATGTTTGTGATGCCTATTGGAAAACAATTCCTGCTTTGCGGAAGCCTTGGCAAAATGTGGTTTACAATAGCTAGCTCGCCTGTTAGAGGCTGGGACTGTCATCACCAGAGACTACTGCTTAATCAGCGTCCAGCAAGGAAATGTCAGGTGGATCATCCCATATAAGTGTGACTTCAGATGAATGCAAGGACCATTTTTACAGGAGTTCATTTGTGACAAGCTGCTTTGGATTCTGTTGTGAATTGATTTCCTGTTGATGTCATTGTTTTCCCTTGTTTGGGGATAAAAAGCTGGAAGGTTACTATATCTGGCTCTCATAAATCCGATTCATGCAAAGACTGTACGTGAACAGCCTTGGCAGCTGATTGGACTGGAGAATTGTGTGGGCAGCATTCATTTACGTATGTGCTTTCCAGTCAGGGATACGTACAAGGAAATCTGCTTCTATGTATATATAGCCCCTAGCTGGATTGAGTGGCTAAGTGTGCGGGCTCTAATCTGGGCGAACCGGGTTTGATTCCCCATTCCTCCACTTGCAACTGCTGGATGACCTTGGGAAAGCCATAGTTCTGTCAGAGGTGTTCTTGAAAAAGAGCAGTTTCTGTCAGAACTCTCTCAGCCCCACCTACCTCTCAGGGTGTCTCTTGTGGGGAGGGGAAGGGAAAGGAGTTTGTAAGCCACTCTGAGACTCCAAGTGAAGGGCGGGGTATAAATCCAGTCTCCCCCTTCAGTGGCATGGCTAGAAGAGACTGTATATTTGTGGATTTTAATCTAAAGGGACAGGTTATTCCTCTGTAAACAGTGTTTTTAGATGGTTGACATGTAGATATATTGGCTTGGGCTTTGGTCCTGAAACCAAGTTGTTTGATTAGTCCAATTGCCATTAGGAAACATAAACACACTCAATAAACCCCAGGATAGTAGCCTTTTTTTTAACGTCCATTAAATTCTAGACCAGAAACATCTCTCAAATAGTGACTTTTATTTCCTTCTGAACAATGTATTGGATACATTTTTGAAGCAAATTCTTTTTCTTACATTAATTATCTTGCCATCTTTTACAGGAACATATAAACCTAGAGTCCGATGTTTTGATACCTATCAGTTATCCATGAAGTTTGAAAGATGCTTAGATTCTGAAGGTTAGTGAAACAAATTATCGTGAAAGCTGCTATGAACTATGAATTAGTGAGATGGGTGAAAAGATGCTAGACCAGAAGTGACCAGAACCTGTCTTGCTATCTGTAATATAATTGTGCTTTCTTTGTAGTTCTGGAAATCAGCCAGTATGGTTTGTCCTTCTTTGTAAGGTATACTCATCTAGGAAACAGGAATTTTTGAGAAAAATACTAACAACATTCTGCTTGAGCTCCTTTTGAAACCAGATTTTTCAAGAATACCTAGTGATGACGGGGAAGGGGGAAACAATAGAGAGAGTGTGGCTATTCAGGTACATTGTGTATGAATCTTTTTGTGGATCATTGCCTTTTTGTGTCACTGACAGTGCAGTCCTGAACAGCATCATACCCTGTTTAGGACTGCACTGCGCACTGTTACATATGAGTGAAAGCAGTTATAGGTCATTATGTCTACCCTAACATCTGCACTGTGTATTTGAGAGTAGCCTTGGGTTATATTCTTGTAAAGTCATCTTGTTAATAGGAGAGTCCTTGGCAGAATGATGCCCTGATAAATAAGCTTGTAATTTGCTACTTACCTGGGGCAAATAGCAGTTGACTGAGTGAACACTAACTGTGAGAATTGCAACCAGGAGGTGATATTGCTGTGTTAGGTGGTGTACATGGCTCTCTTCTGCACTCTTTGTCTAAATTGCTAATGGGTCTCTTAAGACAGAAGGGACTAGCCATTTGGTCTAGTACGGTGGCAGCAGAGAGCAGACACAAGAATTGAGAATGGTTCCCTTGCTTGGGCTTGCAACGGCAGATAAAGCAGGGACATGGATGAAAAGTAGCACTTAGAGTGACCGTTCGCATAACAATGCAGAAACAGAGCCATGCTAATAACAGTGCCTGTATCAGCATCCTCTGTGGCTTATGAGATCAGGAAGAGATCAGAGGTTCTTCATGTAATTAAGCTTGAGTTGGTAGGCTGTACAGTGTGGTTTAAAGGTGAATGTTTGACTGGCCTCTAATCATGAGCTGCTTTTTTTTTTGTTTCCTCAGTGATTACATTTGATATTTTATCAGATGATTACTCAAAGGTATGTCCATCTTTTTGTTACTTACCTGGACAGCAGTACGTTTCATTTATTAGTTGTCAGAAGCATCTAACTGAGTGTTCACATGCCCAAGGATTAGATTCCTGAAAGGAAGTAGAACATACCTTCTATTGGAATATCTTACTTATTTCTTGAAAATCTGGGAGGGCTTGGATATTTGAAACTGTCATGGCTCAGGTGGGGTGTCACCTGACGCTGCCACCACTCTGGTTCCAGGCTCCTCTGAGAAGGCCCAGAGCACCCTCCCAGGCCTTTAGACATCCCTTTTGGTTGAATAATAGGCGTGAGGACCAGGCAGAGTGAACAATGAAAATAGTTTATTTTATAGGAGGTCAAACAAACAAGGTGCAGAATAATAACAGTAAGTGGGTGAAAAGAAAAGAAATCAAATGCCCTAACACGTCTGTGTAGATTCTCTCCTCCCCAGGCTAATCCAGGAATGGAAGGGAAAGAATTCTACACAGGAACCATACATTACGCAAGAACCCAGGATAGATAGCCTCTCTGGATTTACAGACACAGCCACCAGGATCTCTAGATTAATCCCTCACCAGCCTGAGATTAGAGATCCAGAATCTCAGTTGGCATGTGGATTTTACACTTCCACAACTCTGCCCAGAGCTGTACAGTTAATCTTAGCAAGGTAGCACAATTGGTGAGCAGTTCAGACAACAGGACTTAGCTTGGAGTCAGTTACCCATCAAAACAGACACTAAGTATAAACCAGAATAAAGTTTATTTAGCACAGAATTTAACACAGACTACAGGGAGTACTGAAAACAAGAAAACTTATGGCCCTTGGCCCTAACTAAACATTAGAGATCTGCATAGTTACCAGGATGATCCATAGTCAAGAAGTCCCAGTACAAAGTCCAATTAGGTCCCATCTTTGTACAAAGCATGCAGCCATGTGCTCACAAGCAGTCCTTTGTTCTCTCCCAGGCCACATGGCATCCCAGCATCTCAGATAGACAGACACAGATCAACAGAGAACATAGCAGGAACCGAACAGAGAG